GGTACTAGTTAGGTAGTTTTTGGATGCTGAATCATTGAATATCTAAGATAATGACGTCTCAGATCAGCAGAGGATCAAACAAAATAACTATGTAAGAGATGAAAGACTAAATATAAAACTTTCAATGTTATTATTAATAAAATATAATTAATTCAAAAGACATCAGTGCTGAAACTATAATGGACCATGCCTGTAATACTTTGGTTAAATTTTGAATGATAAAATTCGAGAAAGGATTTTAACTTTGTTCAAATATTTAGTAAAATAAAAATGTAGAAATAGTGGAACTTTAGGACAAAATAGAGCGATTAAAAAAATTAAGGAAATAAAACTCATGTCATTAATAAAATTATATATGTATGAAACTGCAATTAATTTTAAATTATTAAATATCTAACATACAAAATTGAAATGTCAAAAGTATCCAAATAAAACAAACATAGAATATATTTTTTTTAGTAAAAACTAAATCGTTATTTAAAACTTATCTTAAAAAAATTCAAATTTCTAATTTCAAAAACAAAAATCTCATAAATTTTAATAACTCCTTTCTCTATGAGCTGTTATAAAAATTTAACATCTTAACTTATAAAAAAATTAATAATAAGTTGCCTTAAATTTCTCAGTTTAAACTCATGATCATTTAATTTAATTCATCATTGATTTATATGTATTATCATTTCAAATTTATCTTACATAAACTTTAACTTTAAAATTTATGTAATTTAATCTTTCATCAAATTCATTATCTGTGAGAAACGCAATTGTTCTAAATATTTCTCACATGTGTTTTCAAGTCTAATTAGTTAAAATGTAATCTAAAATTTCTAAATAATGAATTTGTTTTTCTTTTAACCTCTAAATAAAATAATATTTTTTTTGTCAAAGGAGTGTAGAGGAACATCTTATTAGAGATATCAAAAGAATCCGCGGACGGTATCTTCGAGTAAAATTCGCGACAGGTAATTAATATCTGCGGATATTTACTATCCGCAAATAACAAGTAGAAAAGATATTTTAATACTCGTTTCTAAACGGATCGGGTATTGATAGTATACTATTAAATCCGCAGGTATCCGTTATCCGCAAAAAAAATTAATTTATATATATTTTTAATTAAATTTAATTAAAATAAAATAAATTTATATTTTATTAGGTTAAATTTAATTAAAATTAAATTTTTATTTATATTTAATTTAATTTATATTATATTATATATTTTTATAATTTTTTTTAAATTTTATTTTAAAAATGTATAAAATATTTATTTTGCGTTATCCGTTAGTATCTGCAGATTTTAAAATATCCGCATGTATTTTCTAAACGGATACTCACACAAATAACGAATACAATTTTATCAGATATGTCAACTCAATCCGTGTTGTGATCCCTACATGTAACAATATATATCTCAAACTATAATCATTCTTATATTTTAAACATTGAGATTAAAAGTAAAAGTATTATTGAAGATATATAAACCATCCAGTACAATATGTATGCATTCAATCTATTGTTGAAAATCTAGTAAAATAAAAGATTAAAAAACTAAGAAATCTAATCGTCAAAATTTTAAATAGAAAATATAGTAAAAACAACTTACTATGTCATACACTTAAATTTGTAAACAAATGAAATTAATCAACAAATATATAAAATCTTAAAAAATAAGAAAATAATTATCTAAACCTTATCTAAAATTCAAAATTCAAAGAAAAATATCATGATGTGGTGTTGGTGAAGATTTTAGATGAAAACACTATCCGTATATATTTTTTATATGTTTGCAAGAAATGAAGCATCCCAGGGTTCTTTTCCTTTATTGTCGACTCATACTTTTTGCTTTTCTAAATTCTTCACTTTCGTTTGATCTAAAGAAAATCTTTCAGCCTTATAGGGCCAAACAAGTGGGTCACGAGAGTACTAAAATGTCCTATCTCAGCTTCAAATTACAAATGAAACTAAGTATGTTACAAAGGGTATGACCCCACAATTGTGGGACCCCACCCCTGAGAATAACCCATATTATCCTCACTTAAGGTCAAAAGTTATGATTGAGTGGTTTCACATTCCCCAAGAGAAGTGTGGGTAGGTGGCTGTCTTTATGTTATTTTTGTCTTTACTTTTATAGTTTTTCATCATCTAAGTACCATGTCTCATTCATCGTAACTTTGCTTTCATGCAATTTCCATAATTTTTATGTTAAGCTAAAATAGAATTTCAACAATTATTTGTATTTTAGGTTTTGCATCTAGTTTTTAATTTTTAAAATTTCCATTTACATTCACTAATTTATGTAATTTATTGATAAACTAAAGTTTGAATATATACTATGTTGAGTTTTCATTTTGGTATCATTGGTGATATGTAAGAATAGGTTCAATATGATCATTGGATCCAAAAGGTTTGTTAAATTATCAGGGTAATTTAAGTTACAATCACTGTGTGATAATTTAAACTATTTTTTTTGGGTGGTAATATGTACGGTTCATAATGTATTAAGGTGATTACAAAATAAATTAATTAAGTGAAATGATAGTTATTTTCAATAAAATATGCATGATAGTTTCCAAGCTATTAGTAAATGATTACATCTTATTATGCTTTGTAAGAAAAAAAATATCAACTGGACTGCAGGGATGATCAAATGTTTAGTGAAAGTACTTTTAAAGTAATAATTTTTTATTAATTAAAGAAACTCCTCAGAAGTTGATAAATAAATAAATATCAATTATTTTGAAAATTAAAGTAAACTGAAAATTTATGAAAAAGGTAAGTTAAGTAAATTGCTATTAATGAATTTTAAGAAAAATATCAACTTAGCTAATTAATGTTATGTTGAATGATCATTTAAAAATCAAATTTGATTCTTATAAGTCACCAATCATATGACATATTTGAAAGAAAATAGAATAGTAACAATTAATATTTCAATAATTTTTAAACAACTATAAAAAAGACAAGTATGTAACTAATTGTCCAAAATATGATGAATTCTCAATTGATTGAACCATGTCAAAACATAAATAGCTAATCTTCTTCGTTTAGGTACATGTATGTTTGTAAACAACCACTATTAGACATATATAATGTGGGTCCCACATCACACATTTTGACCAGTCCCTTTCCCCAAAATTTCCTAAGTAAAAAACAAAACTTGTGATTTAGTTAGCTTCAACCAAAATCCTATGGCATTCTTGTAATTGTGTGCAACATGGAGGACAAATACTCACCCACCTTCACTTCTCACACTCTCTTCTTCCTTCCTTTATTAGCTCTCCAACCTCAACCTGAAACCAAAATCCAAAGCTTTCAATTTTCTCACTTTTTTTATCTTTCTTTCTCTCTTTGTTCCTTTTAGCATACTTGTTTCTTCTTCCTCTGTTTTTGACCGTGCTTTTTCTCAAAAGTCTTTCTCTGTTCACACACACTTCTCTCTCTGTCACTGATTCCTTTCCACTACTCTTCCTCATCAAAACACTGTCCTTTTCCTTCACCTCATTGTCACCTGTGCTTCTCCCTTCTAACCCTTTATTCCTCTTCCTCCTTTTCATCTTGTTCTTCTCCTCTTTAACCAATATACACAGTTTGGTTGTGTTAGAAGGAAGAAATTAAAAAAGGGTATCGTGGAAAATTCTCTCTTACTGAAAATGGATACTTTGTTTTAATGTTCATCTGCTTATTCTTTATGTATTTTATCCGTATTTTTTCTGTGAGTGTGTAGAGAGAGCAAAGGAGCGAGGCAAAGAGAGAGACAAAGATTTTCTCTTTTATGTTTATTGATGTATGAATTTTCGTAAATTTGTATTTATCAAGTTACATTTGTTCTTTTTTTAATTTGTTCTTTAATGTCTGCCCTTTTTTGTTCATTTCTAAGATGGTTTTCTGGGAGGCTTTAGGCTGATTGTCTGTTTTTATTTCTACATTTGGAAAAAAAAAAAAAAAATCCCAGATGCAAAGTTGTGTGCTTACTTCTTGTATTCTGGTTGGGTATGGTTTGGTTTTCTGGATATTATAGAGGAAAAGGTTTGAAAAATGCCTGTATCTTCATCAACCTTCTTCTGGCTTGTAAATGAAGAAAAGTATCGAACTTCATTAGCATAGTTAGGTTTATTTGTTTCGAATATAATACTGTTTTCTGTACATTTGTTTTTGGGGTTACTCATGTTTGATGAAATTTTAGTACTTTTATTGAACTTCTCTATTTTCTGTGACAGAGTTATGGTTTCTGTATGAATCTGGTGAGGCATAAAGAAAGGTTGTTCTTTGGTTTTCTTTTCGATGCAAGTTTGAGGAATTCATTCATAGGGAACTAAGAAGAGATGGGATGTTCACATTCAAGGTTGGATGATGAAGAGGCAGTTCAGCTTTGTAGAGACAGAAAGAAGTTCATCAAACAAGCTGTTGAGCAAAGGACTCGGTGGCCACCTCGCACCATAGCATACATCGAATCTCTGAAAAGAGGTTTCAGCGGCACTTCGTGATTACATTGAAGGTGATGAACCACTCGACGGAGTTCTCATGGACAATGCCATACAACCCACCATTTCACACCTGTGAAGAAGAAAAGTGGGCCTGGATTCATTCCTATATCAGCCAAAACCCTTCGCAGCAACAGAGCTATTGAGTTTGGGATCGCGACCAAACTCTTACTTTGAAAGTGAAAGATTCCTTAGACCTGGTGGTTAACCCAGCAAGTTCAGTGAGGAAAGGCGCACTCCCGGAAAGGGTACGTGTTGAGACCTATTATCCTCCAATGCAGCAGTATGGCTTTGATGGGATTTTCAACTGCAATCCTCACCGGTGGAATCCCTCAATTTTTGCCATTCTCCCAATAATAGCGCATACTATCCCTCCCCCTTCCCTCCAAGCTTCCCAATGGGATTCTTTTGGTGGAACCCCTTTTCTTCTGTGGGAACAGCTATGGCTATCCTGCAAAAAGTATTGATCATGTGCAATGGTGATGAATCAGAGGACTCAGGCAGGTTAGAGACGAAGAGAATACCAGACCTGGAGGAAGAAGATAAATGAACATGAAGATGTGTGGAAAAGAAATGTAGCAGAAGAAACGAGAACTAGACCCACATGAATTCTTCAAAAAGAGAAGTTATGTTGAAATTTGTTTTGAAAGATGATGCTGATGATGAGTGGAGGGAGGGGAGGCGGAGGAGGATATGAGGAGGAGGAGGAGGAAGAGGAGGAAGAAACAGACATTGAAGATGCAACTGAGCATGTTGCCAAAGATTCCCAAGCTCATGGAAGTGCAAGTTTTGAAGTATCAAAAGCTCAAGCTGCTGGTCATATTGAATCTAGCCATAGAGAAATGACAATTGGTAAGAAAGATGCTGTGGAAGAAACACCTGGTTTTACTGTTTATGTAAACCGAAGGCCAACAAGCATGGCAGAAGTGATCAATGATATTGAAACTCAATTCACAATCGTATACAATGCAGCTAAAGATGTTGCAGCATTGTTAGAGGCCAAGAAATCTCAATATTTGTTGACTTCTAATGAACTTTCAGGTTTGATGAGAGAAAACTCTTTATATTTTCATTTTGTTGTACGTGTACTTCCATGTTCATACTTTCCATATTTTAGAATTATTAGTGAAGTCCTAATGAATGGAAAAGAATCAATAGGCAGCCTCAAGTTTCACAATAAACTCCATTGTAAAATCTTATTTCTAGAGAGATCTCAGTATGAAAATCATATATCCAGAATTATTTTTTTCATTATTCCAATTCCTCATTTTATTTTACTGAATCTTGTTTTTTGTCAGTCTTGTTCATCTGTACATTTTCATAAATATTGATTTGAGTTATATTTCATTTGCAGGATCAAAGTTGTTGAACCCGGTAGCTCTGATTCGATCAGCTTCTTCACGCTCTTCTTCATCACGGTATTTGGTAAATAGTTCAAGCACTGGCAAGGAAGGTTGTGATGGCTCAAAGGATCTCTCTGAGGAACATTGTATGTTATCAGGTAGTCACCATTCCACATTGGACAGATTAAATACCTGGGAGAAGAAACTCTATGAGGAAGTCAGGGTATGCTACTGAACTTATATTATGTTTGTAAGGAAGTCAAATTTATAGAAAAGGATTTATGGAAAGTTCTTTGTGGTGGTGTGCTTTGAAACAGATAGTTTTGCTACTCAAAAGTAATCTAATAAAACTGTAGAAAAGAACTAGAGTCCTTTGCTCATTTTCTCAATCATGACTTTCCTGCAGAAAAGAGAATTGTTAGCTGCACCCTCTCTGCTGTTGGTTGAAAATCACATTTGTAGGAGTCCCACTTATTTAATGGGTTTCTCTCCTGCTTTTGTAGTTGTCAGTGAATTTTAAGCAATAAAATAAAAGAATGAATGTTAAAGTAAGTGTGTTAGAGAGTGTTATTTCAGCACTCCTCATGTAGAAATTCCTTCAGATTCTTATAGCCTTACTCTTGAGAGATGAACAAAATCAATGATTCACTCTGGTTATGGATTCATCAATGGAAAATACTCCTCTTCTTGCTTCTTATGGTTATTACTAGAAATAGCAAATAAAACAAGTTCTCATGTGAGTAATAATAAAAGAGGCTCAGCTTCAACATAATATGAAAAAGCATTATATCTTTAACTAATGGGCTTAAACCTTTTTAGTAGATGATTAACAGGATTTGGAAAAAAAGGACAGCAGAGATCAAATATAACAGTTTACATTATACTCAGTTATTTTTTCTTTTGGTATTTTTTAAAGTATTTATATTTTTTATTATTGTTACAGGTCATTATGCTTGTGATCACATACAGTTTTATTTTATTGTTGGGAAACTTATTTGTTACTGTGGCCACTTTCTTCTTCAACAGTCTGGAGAGCGTATCCGAATTGCATATGAGAAGAAATGCAAGCAACTCAGGAACTTTGATGCAAAAGGAGAGGACCCCTCTTGCGTAGATAAAGCAAGAGCAGCCATTAGAGATCTTGATACCCAGATAACAGTTTCAATACATTCAGTTGAAGCTATTTCAAGGCGAATCGAAACTCTAAGGGATGAAGAGTTATATCCCCAACTTCTTGAATTGGTGCAAGGGTATGTATAAATGTCAAATGCCCCCATGTATCTTTGGATTTTAGATGACACTAAACCCCTTCTGTTGAAGTTTCAAGTATTTTCAGAAACATACTTCTAATATTTTCAGATAAAGTCATTCTCAATGACTTATATAGTTGAAATTTACCAAGTAAAACACCAAGTGAAGTCATCAAGTCAATCTCTGAGGAGTATATATTCCTGGTTTTTACTTTTTACATGAGAAACACTTTAAAGAAAACAAAACTACATTTGCTTTATGAAATGCAGATATATCATGTATCAAACCTAGCCCTTGCTTACATTTTGCATGCTGATTCTTAAATTATGAAAATGACAGGCTGGAAAGGATGTGGAAAGTGATGGCAGAATGCCATCAGAAACAGAAGAGAACCTTGGATGAAGCTAAGATTCTTCTAGCTGGCACTTATTCCAAACTACATGCTAGAAAACAGTCTTCCATGTTAATGACGGATCCAAACAGGCTAGCTCGTTCAGCCTCCAATCTTGAATTTGAGTTAAGGAACTGGAGAAACGCCTTTGAGTCATGGATCACTTCTCAAAGATCCTACATTCATGCACTAACTGGATGGCTTCTGCGGTGCATGAGATCTGAGCCCGATGCATCCAAGTTGCCATGCTCTCCTCGAAGGTCAAGTGGCACTCACCCTTTGTTTGGACTCTGTGTTCAATGGTCAAGACGCCTGGATGCCATAAATGAAAAGGCAGTGCTTGATGGCTTAGACTTTTTTGCAGCTGGGATGGGGTCCCTCTATGCACATCAGTTGAGAGAAGATTCTAGGAGAAACTCGTTTGGACCAAAACAAAGTAATGGTAATATGGAACTAGTGGAAGCTGGTGAGGTAGAAGAGGTAATGGCTCCAGAGAAACTTGCTGAAGTTGCTATTAAGGTGCTTTGTGCTGGAATGTCTGTTGCTATTAGCTCACTGGCAGAGTTTGCTTTGGATTCTGCTGAGGGATACAATGAAGTTGTTAAGCAATGGGACAATGTCAAGTGTCAAAATACTGCTTCTAGCAACACCAGGACATAGCTGTCTCACATTTTGTGTTAATTAGTTTAGGTTTGTTTAGAAAAATGGGTGTCTTAGAATGTAATTATGTATTTAACTAACCAGTATAAAAGGTAGAATAGCAAGGGCAATTGCACCCAATATTTTGTTATAATTGATTTCTTTTTTCTTTGTCTAAATCTCTAGGTTTTTTAAATTCATGTTGGTTCCTAAATAAATCAGCTTTTTTAGATAGAGTATTTAAAATTTATCCCTTTATAAATAAGACATCCCAAATTTTAAGTTTGTCCAAATTGATTTTATTTTATGCAGTATTTTAAAAAAACAAAAAGTGAACACTCAAAAATAAAATTTCGGACATAAAAGAATTGTAATTTCATGTAAAAATTTAAGAATTAAAAATATATTTAATTACTTTGTTATGTCTCAATTAATCTAATTAAGTAAAACTCTATTTTTCTCAAGAATACATCATAATATGTTTTTGAGCCCCCATTTAACAAGACCTACACATTCCTTAGGCTTATGGTCAGTGATTGTTGTTGTGTTAGCTGGTAGATCTCCCGCTACAACATTTACCACTAAATCAGTGCAATTAGGATACATAGTAAAAGTTTGAACCCAGCCATCGCCCAACCAAACCTCTCCTGTGATAATCATATGTAAACTAAACCTCGTCATTCCTCGTTGCATGTCTTCAGCAATGGCCTGAACCACTGTGTCGTCCACAATGGGTTGGTTCTCTTCCCACCCAGTCGTACTCAACTTCAAATGCACCTTTTTTGTCTCCCCATTTTCCAACAACGAAACTTCCTGCGGTAACTTATATTCTGGCACAATGGGAGTGATCACAGCCAGCGTTTCGTTTTCCTCGTAACTTATTTTCGCTTCCAGATTTATGATGTTGATGTCGGAGTAGTTCATGACGTTGCAAATGGCTACGGTCATGACCCATGTGGATGAAACCTCGCCCTCGGAAACTTCAAGGTGAGGAACCTCAAACGAATCGAGGAAGAACTTGGGTGCGATGGGATCAAACGTTGGTTTGTATAATTGCCTTCGGTGAAGGGCAAGTCCAGCGAGCAGCATTGCAATCATGATCAAGCGTAGCACAATCACCACACCATCCCAATCCAAACGTTCTTCTTCGCATTGCTCCATCATCATTACGTGACCGACATTGATCTCAACATGGTGTTCCTCAATGTCTTGAGGCAGAGGTGAGAATTGAATCCTTGATTCAACTGGAGGTGTTGAAAGAGACATTATTATGTTTTTGAGAAACTCGGATTTAGGTTGGTGAAAAGCAGGAATGAATGATGATGATGATGATATTTGACTTGATTAAAATTGTACGTGTCGCTATTGAATATATATATATATATATTCAAAGGTGGTAGAAAGGAACAGGATATGTTAAATCCTAATCAGTTAATGTTGACAATGTTACAACTAAAATATTTCCAAAAAGGTTAATTTTGGTGCAAGAGCTTGCTGGGACTAGTCGGTATATTAATTGCAATGATTGAGCATTTGGTAACTGTTTTTTTTTTTTGTTGCCTGTGGTGATTAGTTTTAGGTGTATATTACATTTTTAATAACTAAATGTCTAGTGTCTCAAATCATTTGTTTCCTAAAGACCTTAATGGGAAGGGTCAAATCAAATCATCATTACTTAATTTTCTGTTAAATGATAAGTCAATAAAGCAACATAATGCTGTAAGAAGATTAAGGTATGGCCATATCAGAAATTGTATATATATGATAGAAAAAGATCAAGGAATAGAAAAAGATCAGATATCAGTTGTCAAAGATTCTCATGAAGAAAAATCCAAAATTTCGCCAGCTACTATTCTTGCATCACATTCAAGAATAAATGATGTTGAGAAGGAAATCAGAAGAAAAGATTCCAGAAGAAAAAATGGTCAAAGTCTCAGTCAAAAAGTAATTGCAACGAAAATGACAACATATATGGATTTTCAACGACTTTGACAGACAAACCTTCTAACAACTAATTTGTAGACTAGACCTCTCTATAAATAGGTTCCTTCAAGAAGAAAAATTACCAAATGAAAAAATTGCTACATTTATAGAAATGTTGTAAATACTTCAAGCACCATAATGTAAGTACTATAAACAGAGAATAGAAAAATTAAAGAAAATGGCATACAGTTGTACACATGTTTTGGAAGTACTTCGAGCACCAAAATCTAGGGATTCCAATAATTATCAAAGTTTGGCTACTCAGGAATTTGAGTATTGTGGGAAATTGTGTAAAAAGAACCAATTTCATAATTTCAGCCATATGTAACTTTTTAAAAAATTGTTTCTATAAAATGATATTGTTTGATGTTTGTTTTTTTTAATGGAATAATGACTATACTAATATTTTCCAACAAATGTACAAACAAAATTCGACACAATAAGAAATAATCTTGTATCAAAAAGATGGATTAAGAAATAAGATTTTACTAAAAATAATTCACTTCAATAATATTTTCATTTTTCTAAAATAATTAATCTCCAACAATCAATCAAATGAGATCAAAATCCTTATATTTTATAAAAAGAAATGTGAACATAGTGTTTTCCTTCGTAAAAAAAAAGTTCTAACATGTTTCTTAAAGTATGAAAACAAATTTAGCATGTTTGCATCTTAAATAGCTCACCAACTTATTCAACCAACACCCTTAATAGCAATACTTTTATCCAATGGGAGAATTCCAACTAAGATAATTTGAAATAAATAGCTACTACAGTGTGACAGAATATAATTTTATCATTACATTAACATCTTTAGATACGTTCACCTAACTAAAAAATAAATGTAGTATTATTTAGTTAAAAACCCTTAGAACAATTTAACTATAAAATATTTTGACATGGTACAATTTTTAATTTAAAAGATCTTATTTGTTAGAAAAATTTGTTCAAAGTAATTATGTTTGAAGCTAGCTATGTGTATTCAAACTAGTTATATTTAAAACTGGTTTACTTTCAAAACTAATTGTCAAAATTCTTCCTCAACAAAATTATAAAAGATGAACATAGTAATAAATATTTGATAGGCTTTGGAATGTAAGCATAACTAAAATGTTAAAATTTATAATAATGTCCAACATGAGCTTGTTGGAAATAAATTAATTGTGTGATCTTTCTTGGTGTTTGAAAATGTAATTAATGCATTTCAAACTAATTTTATTATTATCCTTCAGGCTTATCTCTTACCTCAAGTATGAACAATAACAGTAAAAATGGTCCCAAAAATCAAGTGCAAGACTTACAGATTTACTCAGGTCATGGTTCATTTCTCTAACTCAAACCTGCACCATTATCCAATGAAAAAGTATAGCTACTACTCATTAAACAATGATCAATCTACTGAAACCAAATCATGTATAGAGAAAATGGATCCTGTAGGAAAAATCTATGTGAATGGTACTTTTCCATACTTCTAAATTTGGACCATACACAAGAAAAGGATGCACATCTTCAACATGCATTCAGCCTAGGCTTTGTCATTGAGAGGAAGATAAACAAATGAATGCATTTTCATTCATCGAAATCATAGCCTACATCATCTAACTCCAAAGCATCATCACCAGATCCAGACCTGATACTGAGGAAAAGAATAACAGCAACTAGCTGTGCTACCACAAAATATTTAGCCCTTCTTCTAAAGGTTTTCTCCTCCTTTGTTTGTGGCTTTCTTTTAGGTTTAGTCTTGGGCTTTGAACCTGATTGTCAAAAAAAAGACGAATCAAACTACATTAAAATATGAAAGAATATAAGTAGTAACAAAGCAATTTGCAGATTTTCTTGGCATTTTGTTTTTTGATTCGTTTTCTCTTCCTATATTCAGAATTGTATAGGTCTTTTGGGAAGATCTGTTTTACTCGAGTTTATTTGGGTACTCCGTGTTTTTTTTTTCGTTTTTCTTTTTGTTTACTAAACTTTCATGCGATTACAAATGATAGATGTCTTTTGGAGTGTCAGTATAGCTAAAATGTTAACAACACTGTGATGCCTAACATGAGTTTTATTTTAAAATAAACAAAGCAAGTTGCACATACAACATTTTCATGTAGCTATATCATGTATTAATAGTACAATAGGCTTGTTTCCAAAATATAAAGCCCCATAAATAGAACGAAGAGTTGAAACATGCATTTAAGGTAGAAATAGCTAGCATTGGTGCCTTGGAGACACCAAATTCGTTTAAAGAGTTAATGTAAAAAGAAAAAAGAATGAATAGTACAATGTTTGACCATGTTGTATTTTGATATGAACTAAGTGAACAAGCATAATGTAATAAACATTCTTAGTAAAATAAAGGTATAAAGTTATAAAAACCTATTGCCGAACACCAAGAGTTATCATTTTCAATTTTCGGACTATTTTATTTTAGCTCTTTGGCATTTCTATTACCAAGTTACAGATGAGTGTAATTGTTTTTAACTTTATCATTTTCAACTTTCTGACTATTTTATTTTAGCTCTTTGCCATCTCCATTACCAAGTTAGAGATCAGTTGAATTGTTTTTAAATTTATCAATAAAATTTATAGCTCTTTAGGTGCATTTGACTAAAAATTATATAAACTACTTTAGTGACCAATAAACCTCACGTCTTCTTATGCAAATAAATAGAATATAATCATTTTTATGTTTCTATTAAGCTAATCTATTTACTCACGAAAAAGCTAACATGGCTTCTTAAGGCATCAAATTAAATGGTTTTTAAACGAACCAAGCAAAGAAAGGCTTGAAAAAGAAAACTACTATAATAAAGAGCCAAGAGAAGTCTTGTAGAAGGTTTTCTAACGACAGTAGACATTTTGTTTGCAAGAAAAAAGGTTCTAGTTTATAGACTATCTTAGAAAATAATGTCAGAAGAAGTATAATTTAATGGATATTAGATTTAACTTCTTGTTTCTCTCCCGTGCTTATTGTTTTTCTTTGTGTTCATTGGATTTCTTATATTTTAGAACTACATCTAGTATTATTTTAACATTTTCATCAGTTATTACATCATTTTTCTAGAGCTTTTGCAATAGAATCTGTCAATTTTTCTTCTCTATCACTAGTTTTATACCTACAGTATAAAAAGCTTTGAATTTACTTATCTTCCTTTATTTGTGTGATTTGATTTTTTT